CCAGCCTTCCAGAATTACAAGTTTAAATTTCCTTTGGAATCGTGAGGCCCAGCACAGCCCAGACACGCCCTAAATCGACTGCGCCCTGCTTACAACAGGACAGCTCCAGGTGTGGTCCACCTGCGCAGCCTGAACCAGCCTTGTCACCTCCTATATATGGGGCTCCGTGTGCAGTCACCGTGTCTCAAAGGACCTCAGCCTTGCAGGCAGCTTGTCAGCCTATCAGCCACTACCAAACTGAGCTGGTAAGAGGTGACCTGTAAAAATCTGTAGCTCACCACAATGATAAATGCTGCAAGGAGAGTCACGTTAATTACCCTGACCTGACACAACATTTTCATGCAGTGAAGCAAAAATGCTATACCCCATCAACTCATTAATACCAACAATTGCAAATAAAACATCTTTTTCTGTATTTTAGGGAAGGGTCTACAGGGTGTTCAGGGTCTCACTACTACATCAGTCTTGTAGTGAGTGATCAGTCTGTTTATAGCCTTCCAAGAGCTTGGATTACAGGTGCGTGCCACCACGCTCAGTCTCAGTCACCATCTGAGCATGGCTTAGGAGGCAGGCCCAGGAATTGAACCTCTGCCCCTGTGCCTGCTTGCAGGAGCCTTAATCCACTGAGCTATCTGGCCAGTCCTGCAAATAAAACATTTTTAAAACACCTAGTTTTGTGCCCACTCCCAGCCTCCTACAATGGCGGCCTCATGTGTGCTAGCATGTCAGAAAGTGCTTGCTCTAGTGATGACCAACGATTCCAGACCAGCACAACCCAGAAGCCCCGAAACAGCAGACTGTGAAATCCCTCTGAGTCCCTCATCTCCGACCTCTCACAGCAGCTGTATTTGTTAGTCTCATTTTGCCAAGAAGATAAATAGTAACAAAGAGCCTTGAAATCCTCCTTTTCATAGCAGAAAAATAGCTATTTTCAGTTCTTCCGTAGAGCCCACCCCAGCATGTGTTCATCTGTGAAGACATGGGCATATGTCCATTTTCTGGAAAGAACACTGAGTCTTTTGCCAAAACGAAGGCAGTTTAAACATTCAGCCATGATAACAACAGCTATCTATTTCTAGGACTTCACTGTCTTCAAAAACCTACCTTAATATCTTTCCAAAATTATTTTTTAAGACTATTGAGCCCTCCAGCTAACTCTAAAGATCACAATGTTAGCTACATTAGTTATTAGTGAGGACATGGAGCCTGGAAACACAAGAGAATTCTACTGCTTAAAGAGCTGATAAATCAGGCCGGGGAGATGACTCAGCAGAATAAGCGCTTCCTTGGCAAGCGCAAGGGCCTGAGTTCAATCCCTGGTTCCGCCAAAAAAAAAAAAAAAAAAAACCTGATAAATCCTAATAGTGCCCCCAAAAAGGAAAGTAAAGAGTTTAGGGGCTGGGGAGATAGATCAGGGGCTGGGGAGAAAAATCAGTAGGGCCTGGGGGGTAGGCAAGCACAAGGTCCTGAGTTCAATCCCCCAGTACCACAAAATAAATAAATAAATAAAATATAAAAAGAGTTTAGGTTCCAAAACAAGTTGGGGAAGTAGATCTTCTATCATTTCCAATTTGGTCAACCATAATCTATTACTTCCCAGGATTATTTTTAAACCTTAAAGATTATTACAAAATATCCCCCAAAGACTCCAATAGTTAAAAGTGAATATCTTTTCTTTACTGAGGTCTATTTATATGAAAATGCAAAATGACAGGAGACTCGGTAGGGTAGAGCAGGCGCTAGTGCAGGAATGAGCACGAACCAGGGAGCCACGGGATGGTCAGAAGAAAAGGAGTTGGCCAAAGGCAAATGCTAGGTGGTCAGAACCCAGAAAAGGCCGTGCAAGGTTCACGTTTACCTCCACTGCAAGTGCAGGGGTGTGGGCTCGCCTGCGGGGCCAAATGTAGGGCACCTCGGTCCCCATCCCGAGCCCCAACTCTGCACCTTTCCAAGACTTGGACGGTCTCCCCTCACCAGCCCCAGGCAGCCACATTTCTCACTGCACTTATAACCCACCATTCAATACCTCAAGCAACGTCACGTTAGGTACACCTCTGCTTTCACATGCAATCATGCCTTACTAGGGTATTTTTTAATTTTCTAGCAGTGCCTTTTCCAAGGGTAATCCACGGACAAGCCTCCTGCAGCTTTGGGGTAGCAGTTTGAAAAGTAAAGCCATGGGACATTGTCCCTTCAAAATATCATTCAATTAGGTCTTTTGTCATACACACCATGTAAGGAGATAACCTTCCAGATTCTAAAGAAATGGCTAGAGCATTTCATCAAAGACACAATAACGGAGACATCGATTCACTCCTCACCACAAACATCTCCCTTTGATGCTGCAGTTACCTTAACTCCAGCGCTTTTCCCTCTCCCTTGAGGCAAACAGCTGCCCTGACACATGCCCAGCAGAGAGAGCTCCTCAAGGAGGAACACATTCCAGTGCCAACCTCAGCTCCGTCGGCACCATCGCTTGCTGCTGTGTAGCATCACGCTCCCCAACTCTAAACCACTAAATCACCCCAAGTAAAGAGCAATTCCACCCCATCCTGGCTTCCTGGAGCTAGATGTTTTATGCCACCTCTCCAAATGTTGTCCTCCTTGCACCATTTATTTAAAAAGAAGAATGGCCAGGCACTAGCTAGAAGCTTTATGGGTCTGAAGCACATCCAGACAGTTCTAGCAAAACAGGCCAACCAGCAAGAGCACCTATGAAATAATGCGTCCACAAACATCCAGTGTGACTAGGGAAATCCATCAGCTCCCACTGCCACATTCCCAAATATGTTTCCTAAGTGAAAAAGCAACTCTCAGGCCCAGGGAGATAGCTTGCTAGAATAAGCACTTGCCCGGCAAGCACAGGGTCCTGAGTTCAATCCCCAGTACCACACAAAAAAAAAAAAAAGGAAGAAAGAAGGAGCAACTATTAAGCCTAAAAGAATTGTGAAGGCATTTTATCCACGAGGGTGCTTCGTGAGTAACACCCCAGAAGTTCTCCGTGCTGGGAAAACGGAGAGGAAAGATCCAGCTATCCCATCTGAGACAGAGACAAGAAATGCTGACTGCATTTGGTGCACCAGCCTCTTGGTATGAGAAGCCTGCTGCCTCTAGCCCAGCTTTCCTCTGTAAAATAGCATATGGTTTAGTAAGTGCTCTAAGCTTTACCTAAATAAATTACCATCCAACTATTTAACAGCACCCAAATAATTTACTTTTTTCAAGATAGCTTCAGACTTTCTGGCTATATTAAGCACCGAAACTTGCAGACTCTCTGACATTTGGCTAAGTCTTTCATACAATATCCACTTGATTCCATGAAAGAAATATATTTGCAGAGGCTTTTGCTCTGCAAATGTCATGCGGGTGTCCTCGAGGATAGCACTGAGCCCCTGGTGCCCACAGCGAGGCTCTGAGAATGAGAGATATAAAGGTTATGTTGAAATTATTGTTTGAAGGTGTGGACGTCACACACACACACACCATTCACAGTCTCGCATTTAAGTGTGTGCTGCAATGCAACTATTTCAGGATTTGGCAGTGCAGAGAGAAGACTGTCTCAACCGCGGTTATCCCGTGTGCATCTCTATGCGAGCCAGCGCGTACATTTATCTGTTCCATTTCACCGATTGATTCTACCGCGTTATTACATAATAGCTTGGCATCCGCATGGAGATTCTTGAGAACGCAGGAAACAGAACACACACTAATCTAGAGTTCCTCCTCTGATGTATAAATTGATCAAGTATAATGGATCTAATTCCGCTACATGTGGGCATTCATCCACTAATTCACCTACCAAATATTTAGAGAAAAGATCCACTAAGGGATGGCAGGTGCTGGAAGCCCAGACACCGCCCAGACCCTGACTGTGGGCGGGAAGGACGGAGTCGCGGATGCGAGAAGGCAGCTCTGCCGGGCTGCGCCGGAGCTCGCTGGGGGGTGACGCGGACTCCGCCGCAGCTCGCAGGACCCAGTGCTGACCGCTAGGCGTGCAGCCTGAAGGAGAGGCTGCCTGATCCATCGTATCGTAATATATTTTTAGAAAACAGCAGAACGGGCTTGTCTGCATCTCCGTGCCCATTGCTAGGCTGGATCCAAAGGCATTTCCCAAGGCGAAGGCCACACAGGAGGGCGAAGGCGCCTCAGACGCGGACTCTGGCGAGGCGCACACGACCGTGGCGGATGACTCTGGGCGGGGGTCCTCGCCTCCCGCAGCGGGGCCCACTGGAGCCCTACGAATGAGCGCAATGCCTTCCCGCTCTCCTCCTGGAGCTACTGGAAGTAGGGTCAAGGACGAGAAATTTTAAAGATTTTTTTATCAAAATCAAAACTAGTTTTTATCCCTAATACAATTAGTTTCCCTGATTATAATCCGTAATCAGCGCCACCTAAAATACAGTAACATCTGTACAGAATCTCTTTGTCTTTATATATTGGGACCATTGAACTCAGAAAATGCAAAGCTGGGCTTGTTAAATTATTCTTTGTTGTAGAAACGCTACCATTTGAAGGAAGTAAGAGGAGGATTTAAGTAGCAGAGAACCTGTACAATAACTTAAAGTGTTAAAAACTTGTAGTGATACAATCATCCTGTGCACCCGCTCAGCTGTTCGAGGAAAACGGCCACTTTGCAGATCCCAGATCCAAAACACGACAACAACCACTGACACGACGGGCCCTGCGTGTTCCCGCCCGGCTGGCTGCGGGACATTTCTGGTGAGTCAGTCAATGGAACAGTCAGGACCCAGAGATAGAGCGAAGGCATATGTATAAGAAAGTCATTCCAAATCTGTGAAATGATTTTAAAACAAAAAAAGAATTGCCAAAGCAGCAAGATGCCTGCCTGCGCGCGGCGACACTTAGCAGCAGCAGAGAAGGTTCAGCGCTGCAGACAAAACCAACTCGGCAGGAAGGACGCACGTCTCCGCTTCCCGTCCAGATTTCGCAAAGCGGCGGGCCTGGAGCGACAGGCACACGTAAAAAGAGCCCCTGCTCACCTTTTGGTCCAAGCTGTAGGCCAGCACCCAGTCCTCCTGCCTGGGGTGGAAGAGCAGGCTCTGGATGTAGAAGGTCAGCCGGTACTTCTGGTAGGTCGCCCCTTCGTCGGAGCTGATCAGGATGCTGCTCTCCAGCTCTGGGTCACTGAGAAGCATGATCTAATGGAGCGAGACAGACGAGAAACGCGCACGGGATTAGTGGGATGGAACTAAGAGGTGAAACCTTAGGGGCGGTGGCTCGATCCCTAGTCCCGCACGCTGGCTGGCCCCACCCCAGGGTGCACTGAGCCTGCAGCTAAGTCCGGGCGTGGTGGTGCATGCCTGTAATCCCAGCGCTGGGGAGGCTGGAGACAGGAGGGTCACTACGAGTCTGAGCTGCATACTCAGACTCTATCAAATACATTAAACCATAAAGATGGAGTCATCTGTGTAAGCATATTAGAGCACATTCAGCGGCAGCTACCAGCCAACTGCTCTCTTTCCGTATTGAGTGTTTCATTACTGAATTGAGCTCAGTGAGGTGAGGGTGGGCCTGCCTGGGAATGGAGGCTTTCTCTCCGCTGTCCACATTTGAAGCCCCGAGAGCGTGCTGCTCGATGCTCCAGGAATGCTCATGCCAGCCTCAGACCACTTCCCTCCCTGCCGCTCTCCCTTACGCCCAGTTCTCATCACGGTTCATGGTCAGAGGGTCAGTACCTATGCCATTCTTTTTTAATTATTTTGACAACTCTGTGATTTCTTTGTACCGATATTTTCTGAAATGTCAGTTCCCAAACCCTTGAAGAGGGTCACATCTCAACCGTTCTCTGCTCCTACTGTGCCACAGGAAAGAGGAAGGAGAGGCTGGCGTGTGGGGTGCTGGGCACCCCTGCAAGTATTGCCGCAGGAGGAAGGGAGAACCTTGGTTTCAGCCCACGAGGTCTGAGCAAGGGCGAGGGTATGTGTGTCTAAGCACCCACTTGGGCTTAAACCCCAGAGAGCCGGTCATTCCTAGTGAGACAGAAGTCACCGGAGGACTGTGGGCAGAAGCCAGCTGGCATCAGGCGGAGGGAGATGTCACAAGAGCAGTCTAGGCATCTCCTGTTAAGAAGATACCCTGCACCAGCTTGGGTGCCACCACACTCGTTACGACTGCAGACGCTGAGGCTGCTAGACGTTAAGTAACTTCCCTGTGGTGACAAGAGAGGAACGGAGAACTGCTGGGCGTGCACCTGCTCTTCTGGAAGCCAGGGCTGCTGTCCATCTGGCTCAGTTTGGTGCCTACCAACCCTCCTGTGGCACAGCATTTGTGCAAGTATTTGGGAGCTCACACTTCACCACTTCACCACCCTGTATTTCACTAGGTTCTCTTCTGGCTCATCGTGGGGACCGCTTGTAATTAATCTTCAAATGAGTACCTGCACACGCACACACAAACACACGCACATGTGTGTGCACACACACATACATACACGCATGCACGCACCCACACAGGAGTGCACACTTGCACCCCTTCTTAGTTTCAGACTTGGAAGCCCAGCTACCACAAAGATTCTTTGCTCTGCAATTCTGAAGCACCGGAAACACAAGACACCCCAGCAGACGTTCGCCAAGCCCCAGTGCTCCCTGTCCCTGTGATGCCCCTGCCAGCCAGGCACGGGTAGCCTTCATCCTGACTCTACCTTCTCACCCCCTTCTCAAGGGCCTCCATCTCTGAGCCTGTGCATCTTACCTAATGAACACCAGTCCCAAGCCCTTCAGGCCCTCCCTATCAGGCTTGCCTTAGTCCCAAACCTGATCCTCTCAGTTACTAGAAAACTTTCTCCATTACTACCACGTCGCCCTGTTCCCTTCAGATCCACTCTGCATGCTGGGACCATCCTGTGAAACCAACTGATGTTCTCCTCCACAAAACCAATCAATGGCTTGTCATTGATTTCCCTCTCCCAAAATCCTTACATGGCCTGATAAAAAATCCTCCCCCTCTTGTGTTCCTGGCTTCAGCAGAAGCCCTGGCCTTTTGTGCTTTCCGATCCCACCCTGTCCAATTGCCTTGAGCTCCTGTTTGCTGAGCAACTGAATGAACACGTGCTAATTTCCCGTATTATTTCTCTGGCCTGTGGGTGTACTGCTGCTGCCTGTTAGGGTGAATTCTATCACACAGAGCCCAAGGTACAAAATGAAGTCAAAAAATATTTTCCTATCCCTATAAAATAAAACTGACAGCCAGAAGGATTTTAAAAATGTTACCTAGAGCGTGCATTAGTATTATTATAAAGCAAGCTTTGAGCAAATTTAGGTCTCCTAACAGCTGAGAGTCACAGCCCTCTCCCCTTCTTTACTCGGCTTCCAGGAGACGCTTTACTTTCTCTCTCAAATATTTGCTTTGGCTTCACTGAGGTAAGTCATCATTAGTTATCAGCAAATTTTTAAGAAATGGTTGCGGTATTGTAATTTCTTCATTCATGCGGGCATAATCCAGGGGAATCACTGAGGTTTTCAGAAACACAGAAGCGCGTCCCCTTCCCGGCAGCACCCAGCTGCCCTGAGCACACCCTGCAGGAGCACCTACAGAGGACGCAGGGCATGCGAGGCACTGAGTCCGAGTTCTGCCCTCCAAGCCAGGCAGACCACATTCACACCGTGTGCTGATGGAGACATAGAAGGCGATGGAATCATTTTTCCCCTGGTGCAGAGAAATTAAACTGCTTATTTTATGTAGCTGTAAAGAAACTTCATGCCTGTGATTTTAATTAGAAGATAAGACCAACATCATAAACGGACTTTATTTTATAGGCCATGAGTTACAGTATACAGTGGGGTTACTGTTAAATATGGGGCTAATACATTTTCTTCCTCCAGATGTTTCTTTGTGTGTGTGCACACGCAGACACACTTCCATATAAAACCACACCAGTGTATACACAAACTCCACACACAAATGTGCACACATACACTAACCCATGCAGACATGGAACACATGCATTCGCACATGCAGAGATGGATTATACACAATAAGGCACATGGACGGCCGTGGCAGCTTTACAGGGCGTGTATCTGTGAGAGCACATTTTTATTGCAACCTTTCTCTGACATTCTCATCAGAAATCCTTTTATATACTTTGATATCACCAGCCATATCTCTATTCAATCCTACTTTCTGGGAAGAATAAAAAGAAGAGAAATAGAAACCTACATATTCTGGATTATTAACCCGCACTAAGTACTTTAGCTGATAATTTATACAAGCCCACATACAAATTGCAGAAAGTACCGCTACCTGCATTTTACAGATACACAAACCGAAGCTCAGGAGGAAAGCAACTTGCCTATTACTTCTCTGGCTGCGTTAAAATCCACCTACACACACACACACACACACACACACACACACAGCATTCATACACGCACGCACACAGGCAGATACTTTTTGAAGCATCTCCACAGAAGATGCTTTAAAAAATCCACAGAACAGATTTGCTTATGTTCTGAGTCCTCACTGACCTTGAATGGCTAGGGCTAAAATGTTGGCTGTCCTTGCAGCCCTTCTTTTTACTAATTTTTGGTCTGCAAACTTAAGTTATTAACCCTCTAGAAGAGAAGCTTAGTGATATTATTCCCCTACAACACAGACAGTTTAGCTGAACCTCACTATCTGTCTGAAGATCAAACATCTTAGACATAACATGAAACAGGTATTTTCCATCAAGTATTGATATGTTAAACTTTAAATCCCTACAGAATGTGAAGAAGAAAAATAAAAATAAATGTTTTAAAAATAGGAATAAACAATTACATATTTTTGAATAGAAATTTAGGAATCTAACCATATATAGCATTGTAGCAGGATAGTCCTATGACATTTATATTCTTGTCTCTTGTTTTCATTTATTAGTCTTTTTTAAGCAAACATTTACTTGAAAGACAGCATAACCATAAAGCAGAAAAATATAAAAATCAGGTATAACAAGTAAAGCCATATTAATATGCTGAGCTGTAAAAGGCTCAAGTCAACAGCTTCTGACATTGCCAGTCCTATGGATAACCCACTACTATTGTGGACTACTGGACTACATTGGATTACTTTGCTGAATTCATGCACCTACAATATTCAAATGGCAAGGGAATACCCATCTCTGACAAAACTAAACAAAAAAGGGGATATAAATGAAGGACCATTTTGTATTTGTATATACAAAATAGGATAGATATACAGCTACTTTCTCTTAATTCAATGAGAAGAAAGATTTGTACTAATAGTGTTTGGAAAGGATATCATGTCTGCATCTTGTACTATGAATAACTACTACAAAGACAACAATATGCAATGTATTAATTATTGTAACTGTCCTACTAACCTGTTTTGAAACTGTCTCATTGCTATTTGTTTCTCAGTAAAATTAACTAAAAAGATAAAATAAATTTTAAAAAATCCACTGAAAAGGGGGCTTCAAGAAAGTGCTTCTCCTCCTCTAATTCACTATGTCTCATCATGGAGACAGCAAGAATTAAATGACGGGACTCAAAAAGGGACTCAGCGCTGCTAGTGCTAAAAGAGCAGAGAACCTTGATATTAACATGGAACCTGCATAAGAAGACAGCAGGGCTTTGTCACCAGGTCAGCCTTAGGGCAAAATACAGCTTCATACTCCAGACACACAAGGAAAGCCACCGAATGCACAGCCTGGTCTTTCCTGTTGAGCAGGGATTTCCACTGGAACATCTTCGGCGGCTCAAAAGTTAGGGTCGGCGGGGCAGCTGAGGGAGGCAAGGGGAGGCGGGGACACTCGCACTGGGAGTACACGTCCTGCCTCCGACTGTGCAGAGTGAGGCTTTCAAACTGCCAAATTAAATACACAGAGACGAAGCCCTCACAGGGACCAGGCTAGCGACTGTTGGTAAAGTTGCCGTGGCTTGCTTCTACAACAGGAAACGGAGAGGTCATAATCTCAAGGCGTAACTGCTGGTGTGCAGGGGCGCTCGCCACAGAAATGGCTGCTGCTTGTGAGTTGTACCTTCAAGAGGCTTCAACAATATGAAGGGGACAGAAATCCCAAAGGACATCTGTGCTTTGTTCGGCCCTGCTTTTGCTTTGTTCACCTGATCCGCTGTCCAGCCCATCCCGACAAAAGATGCTGAGCGGGTGTCCGTGACATGTGGAAGGAGAGAGGGGACTTCAC